TGAGCGTCAGTTCAATTTGAAAGATTTAGAAAAGTACAACCTTGCAGTTTTGAGAATGCAAAGGGTGGATATGATTCACCCAGAGCATGGTGGATGCAAAGGAGTACATTGTCCAAGAATTCTATGCCAATGTAGCGCAAATCAAGAAGGGAATGAAGGTTACAAAAGTGAGAAACCTCAATGTACGATTTGACCAGCATACCTTGAATAACTACTTAGGGTTTGATGATGTCAAGCCTACATAATACTTGGAGAAGTGTGCACTTGGGGAGGCAACCCGTCCTTGGTTAGTAGAGATGCTAGTAACTTCTGGGCCACCACCACCATGAATCACAACAGGGGTTCCTATTCAAAGGAACACTCTGAGCTTTGACGCGAAGGGATGGCGGACCTTTGTCTGCAACAGACTAGACCCGTGCAAGAATGAGACATATCTTCCAATTCTGTGGGCAGTTCTAGTCACTTATATCGTGGCCGGGTACCCGATCAATATATGTGCCGTGATGTCAGCCAATATTTCCGTGATCGCAAGGCAAGCTGACTCGTCTTACCCGTATCCTAACACTATTACAAAGAATCTCACGAATGCGAGGGTCGAGCAGGAGGATTATGATATGAAGGTGCGGCCGAATAAGCCATTCTCATGGTACTCTTTGATGGATACTTCGAACCCAAAGAAGAAGGTTCAGCCTCCTACCATTGTGGGCCAATCTAACGAGCCAGTTGTGGTAGTTGCGGAGACAGTTGAGGGTCCATCCACTTCAGTCGAGCCATCCTTCAATGCTGCAGCGATGCCTCCACTACCATCTTCAGCTCCCACTACTTTTCCTACCATAGGTTCCACCTCGGCTTTGAAGCTGATGCCCATGACTACTACTCTACTTTATGCGCTAGGAGTCTCCCAGACACTAGCGAGCCTCAACAACTGGATATGGATAGCCACTACAAAGCTGTCTGACCTATCTAGTACTGTTGTAGCGTAATTATTCATTCTGACACCTTAGGTTCCTCCGACAATGGAAGATACATTGAAGAAGCTCCTAGAGAACTAGACTACTATCATGAACACTCTAGTACAATATGGGTTAGTCATTGAGGAGCTGGTAAAGGAAGTAAAGAAAATGAGGAAGTCCCAGGATTCCAAGAAGTCAGTTGACAAGCTCCGCAGACAGGTGACCAAGATTGCAGCAACCGGAGATCTCCCATTTGGGATGCTAATTGATCCAGTTCTTACTGCACAAGCAGCACAAGCAGCTCCATTGGCACCAACATCCTCAGACTGGTTGCCGACACTACCGAGGCAGTGCGTTAGATGTTCACCAACCCAGCCACTCCCAGAGTTAAAGTTGATGAGATCTAGTTGGAGAAGACTGAGGACGGTGACGCTGCTGTAGACACAAAGATGTCCAGGGAGCCATATAGAGTCTTCTTCAATCTTCCTTTACTCTTACTTTGAAAGCATTGAGGACAATGCTTATTTTTATTTGGGAGGGTGGAGTTTATTTGATCTTATTTGCTGATTCTAAGACATTTGGCTTGTACTTAACTTGATACTATTTTCTTTTTCTTTCTCTCATTATGTCTATATTCTCTCTTCTCTCATGATGTATATATTCTCTCTCTTTTCTCATTATGTATATATCTTCTCTTTCTCCCTCGTTATGTAATTCGTTCTGCTTTCAATAGTTTTTGATTTGTAACTTTTTTGTTTTTATTTCCTTATTAGTTAGTGTTTGATTTAGTAGCTTCTTTTTATGTTTCAGTAGATAATAAACCTTTGGTTTTCTTAATGTCACGGTTCTTTCCAAAGGTAGTTATTGTGTGAACCGGGTTACTCGTCCCAACGATGGATGACATGACAACCTTCTTAAAGGAATGAGTCTATTTTGTGTTAGTATAATAGTAATAGTAAAAAAAAGACCTGATTAAGTCAAACTTAAAGAGTCAAACATGCTTCATTTGGCACCAACACATTTAACTACATGTTTATGGTTAAAGACAAGGATTTTTAGAAGGAAGTAGCTCTAGTTAGTGACTTTGTGACTCTTGTGTTGACTTTGATACCATCGAGTAGTCTAATTGGACCATAGTGATCTTCAATCTTGAATGTGGTTGTTATGGGCCTTCGACTCTATTCTCTTTAACAATCTAGTTGCATGAGGGGTGAGATGCTTTGTTGCTAGTCCAAGTATTGTGCGGAAGGTCTAGAACTTGCCCCAAATGTGTTTTAAGGTGAAATCTAAGTTTTGCTTGGCTTGAGAAGTGATTGTAGGCTTTCCTTGGACCGTTTGAATTTTTCATTGCCTACCAATGTTGCTATCCCTAATCAACCCATTTGAGCCTCGAGCCTTTCTCGTTTGATAACCATGTTACAAGCCTTTTCCTATTTTGTCGTGAGCTTCTCTTGGCACCCGATAACCATGTTACAAGCCTTTCTCTTTTATATCTTAAGATTCACAATCTTTAGCTTAATTTTAGAAGTAGAAACAAAACCCTATTTGTGGAAGTGCAATCTAGATACTTCACTTACTCACTCCGAATATATACTACTAACTCCCATCTTAGATCCCTGTAGATTCGATCCCGATTCTTTGTTGGGTTTTATCATTGTAAACGATCGTGTCATGCCTCTATAGAGGCGTGCATTTGGACGTGATCAAGGTGTTGCATTTACGAACACTTATTTGCAAATGCGATACACGGATCACAAATGCGTTTTATCGCAAATGTAAAATGCCCTCTTTCACAAATGTGGTTAAGTTCTTCGCATTTGCGATGATATCCTAAATGGCCAGTGGTCGCAAATGCGACCAACAAGTTCACAAATGCAATTGTCCCTCATTCGCAAAAGCGAACATTGCCTCGCAAATGCGAGGTCTCCCAACCCAAGCCTATGCTCGCAAATACAAATGCTTGATCGCAAATGCGAGCCAGACCTCGCATTTGCGAGATATGCAGTAATGCACCAACAACTGCTGTTACTCACCGGAGCCCCTCCGAGCTCCAAATCGAACATGCAGATTAGTGTAACAACATGCTACGAACTTGCTCGCTACCTCAGATCATCAAAATAACATCAAATAACAAGAATTGATAGTCAAAACTCTAAGAATTTTCATCTTAAACTCAATTTTTCCAATTTCGCACATAATGCGTCGAAACGCGTTCGGGTCACACCGGACCCTAACCAAACGTGCGTACAAGTCCAAAATATCATACGAACTTACCAAAATCGTCAAAATACCGATCCATGGTCGTTTACCCAAAATATTGACCGTGGTCAACTCTAGCCTCATTTTATGTCAAAAATCATTTTTTTTTAAATTTTCACTTAAACGTTTTTTGAAAAGCGACACGAACATCAAATGAAGCTATGGAAGGTCTCAGAACATAAAAAAAGGCTAGTACTCAAAACGACCTATCGAGTCGCCATAAAAATACTATTTTATTATATGCGTAAGTCGATATCAATCATCAAATTAGTGCTTTTAGCTTCAAATTTTTTTTTGGGGTCAAAGTCTATTAAATAGATCTTAAAAAGAAAAATAAGTTATATTATTATTAATATTAATTAGTCAATAAAAAGTGTAATTAAAGTAATGAAATTTCAAGAACTAATTTGTTGTAATCCTTGATTATTATTTTTCATTTTTTGATATTTGTTGTGGTAAGTCGGATGTCAGATATCAAGATAGCCAAATTTGATACTCTTTGTACATACCGATAAGTTTATATGCTAGTGAATTTTGTCATTTAGAAAACAAAAATAACTGAATTAATATTAAGGATAGCGAATAAAAGGGGTTCAAAGCACAAAATAAAAAAGACCCTGTAACTACTAAGCCTCTACGAAGCTAGCGTTTGGACATAGATTTGGTTAAAAATTAAAAAAAAGAGTTTTTGAAAATGAAATAAAAAATAATTTTTGAAAGTTAAAATTGTGTTTGGACATATATTTTACTTTAAAAAATTTAAAGTTTTGTGAGTAGAATACTAAAAAAAACTTCACAAACTACTATAGAGTTATTTTTGAGAATTGAAAGTTTTAATCTACCAAAAATAATTAAATCTATAAATAAACGAATATTTAAAAATAAAATTTATAAAAAATCTCCCGAATTTTATGGCCAAACAGGAGCGAAGACTTTACTGCTCCCCTAACTTCTCTCCTGTGGCTAGGTTTATACACCTCCCTCATACAACAACCACCATCTTCTTTTCATCTTTCCAGCGGTATTTCTTCTCAAATATATTGATAAAATTATATTTTATGATTTAGTAATTAATTAAAATATATTATGCAATTTTTTTGGTGTCTATATACCAAATTTTTTATTATCGTTGCGGATCAAGATAAAATGATAATATAATTGTGCAAATCCTAAAACTGAAAGGGAAATATTCCGAAATAAAGTATATTTAGGGTGGATATACCCTTTAAAATTTTAAAAATAAAATTACATATTCTATAATATATTATAGGGGTATGTAGCTCCTAAATGATTGATATCATGAGATATATTTTTTATTCTACATTAAATTCGGTATATAACAAAATTCTTTGTTGATTGCTTGTTAATTATAATAACACAAATTTGATTGATCTTAAGTGGAATAAGTTGTTTTGGAACGGTCTTGTTTCTTTTTTGATATTTAATTAATACTAGCACGTTTGGTTAAATTTCTTGAAAATTAAAAATATTTATTTTATGCACTCGTTAGGTACACTACAATTGGCATATAGAACCTATTTGTTATTATAGTCCTAAACAGGATTTACTTTTTGATAATTGTTGTGGTAAGTAGGATGTCATGTGAATGTGATCAAGATGCCAAGTTTGGAACTTTTTGTACATACGGATTACGGACAAGTCACAAGTTATTAGTTACTGTAGTAGTTTCTTAATAAGAAAACAAAAGTACGTGGAGTAATTGTAAAGATAACAGTTACCAGGGTTCAAAGCACAAATTATTATAAGTAAAGAACTTAAAAGACTACAAAACTTGTTGAGATTTCCAAAATTTTCACTCCACCCCTCAACTCCTCTCCAATGGCGGGTCTGTACACCTCCCTCAGACCCCAACCACCTTCTTCTTCTTCATCTTCCCAACAATCCTTCTTCTCGAAAGTTCTTCTCCTCCTTACGATCCTTCCTCTATCCTTAGCTGTCTTTGCCTTTGTTCTTCAATGGCGTGGTGGCGGAGTTGACGATCCAATCTCCCGATGGTCTCCTGAAGAGTCTAACAAATTTCCCGGCATGGACAGCTCTCCTCTGTCCACTGTCGCTCACTCTTCTTCTCACTCATCAGATTGCTCTCTCCTCGCTCATAGTAATACGCCGTCGTTTCCTTACTACAAAGACTGGAAATTCAAACTTCATTCAGATCTCAAACCCAAGGTTTCATTTTTTTTTAATTTGCTTGTGAGGGTTTTGGCTTTTGATCGATCTGGAATGTTTTTTTTTTGTGAGTAATTTGCATTGTTGGTATCTATAGTTCATGCCATTTGTAAGCTATGATTTAAGTTATATAGACGGACTATGTAAAGATTTCCTTACACTATCAGTGAATTTTAACCTGCGATAATAGGTTACCATTTTTACTAAATTACCACTTAATGCATATCAAGAGATATACCTGTACCTATGACCTGATAGTGTCAACAGTTCTCATATTGTCAATGCATAGAACTTAAACTCCTTTAGCTAATTGAGAAATTCTCCCAGATTTTTTTTCTTCCCATTTGCATCTTGTAGCACCTAGTTTGGGATTGAGGCATAGTAGTTGTAACCACAACAAAATAATTATCAAGAAAAAGGTTTCTACAGCCTTTTCCTTTTTGAAATTCCAGCACCTTCAACCAATCGATATCTCCTGAACAGATTTTTAGTGCATTTGTTCCTAGTTAAGAGTTGCTAACATGCTTCCTCTATATTAACTGTTTCCCTATAACAGAAAACTAATGTTTCTCCATTATGCAGATATGTATTACAACCAGTACATCTGCTGGCCTAGAGCAGATCTTACCGTGGATGTTCTATCATAAAGTAATTGGGGTAACATCATTTTTGCTTTTCGTGGAAGGAAAGGCTGCATCTCCTGATGTTTCTAAAGTCCTTGAATCCATTCCCGTAAGTTCCCCAGCCTGTATTTGCCTTATCACTGAATTTTAGGATCATCAAACGATATTTAAATGGTATTGGCCACGATTTTGATTGGGCAGCTGCCTCTCCGTACCTTACCATCAATTAGCTCTATCTAGATGTTTTCATGAATAGCAATCCCGTGGCTGCTCTTATGAAATGATTGCTTCTAATGCAATTTTCACAAATTTCTTTCCTTTTTTAGATAAATCTAATATATACTAGTCCAAATCCAGTTTACCCACTTAATTTAAGGCTCAAGTGGCATATTTCAATTCCCTAAACTGGGTTTTGTTTTCTGCAGGGAGTAAAAGTAATATACAGAACTAGAGAGCTAGAGGAGCAACAAGCCAAAAGGTCTGTCAATTGACATTTTCTGATTGTTTCAAGGACTGGCTATTCTTTCTTGTATTCTGTTTGGTTGGGCTCATGCCAAATTTGTGTGACAGAAGTTATTGCTGTAAATTATTTCTTGCCTGTTGGCTGTAACTGTGTGAGAAATAGTTAGCATTAAATAGGCTTGCAATTTATTTCGACCATGGAATATTTCTAAAAATATAAGAATTTGTTGATTGGTTTGGTGACACTGAAATATAGGAAATTAATAGAAAAGGGCTATAATATTTTTGTTGCTTAACTTTGTTTCTTCTTATGTTCATATTTTCATTATTTCTGTAACTGTAAAATTACTTTTCATTGAGTTGTTGAAAATTGGCTAAGTTTTTTCATCTTTTAGCATTAGCATGTCATTTTCTTTACATACATTTCGTTGACATGCATTTTCTAATTTTGATCTTCTTTGATGGGAACGAAATGTGGCCTTCAAGTTTTGTTAATGGTTGTACCTTTCACATTTGCATGTCCAATGTTGTCTACCTATGTTTCACTGATGTTTTCTCATTTTGTTCTAGCCGGATTTGGAATGAAACATGGCTGTCAAGTTTCTTCTATAAACCTTGCAATTATGAGCTCTTTGTGAAGCAATCTCTTAATATGGAGATGGCCATAGTGATGGCAAGGGTATGAATTCTTCTACTTTGGCATCATCTATCATTCTAGTCTCATAGCTGATGATCCAAATACATGCTGAAATGTCAGGATGCGGGTATGGATTGGATAATTCATCTAGACACAGATGAGTTATTACACCCAGCAGGTGCTCGAGAGTATTCTTTGAGGCAGTTGCTGCTTGATGTCCCTTCAAATGTTGACATGGTTATCTTTCCTAACTATGTAAGTTAGTTGGAAAAAGTGTTCTGGAAACAGATATTTATAGACAGTGCGTGTCTGATTAACTCTCAGAACATGTTGTTTACTGCTGGAACTGTCATAAAGCATTTTTTAATGTACTCTTTTTTATTCAGGAGAGCAGTGTTGAACGAGATGACATCAAGGACCCTTTTACGGAGGTAAGCTGGAACTTGCAATTCATTATTTTGTTACTGAACTGCACATTGTTGTTGATGGGCAAAACTACTTCGATCATAGAATATGATTTGATGCATTAATATGTTTCCGGTGATTCAGCTGTTTAAGTGCAGTAAGAAATTGAGAGGTGATTTGTCTAAATTAGCAATGTTGCATCTTTCCTATGTGTTAAATTTTTATATATGTTTGACCATGACAGGATCTTTGAGGTAAATAATGGAACTCTTATGTTGTTCTGCTATTGACCTCATGATCAGAAAATTTTCAAGTGTTTTTTGTCATATCTGTTGTTTCTCAATGTTATGTGAATTTAGCTTCGCGTATGACACCTAAGACTGTTTTTCTTTTGTTTTCTTTTCCAATGTACCCATCACAATAGGTGTCAATGTTCAAGAAGAATTATGACCATCTAACAAAGGATACATATTTTGGCATGTATAAAGAAGCAACCCGTGGCAATCCAAATTACTTCTTGACGTATGGCAATGGTAAAGCAGCTGCTCGAATTCAGGACCATCTTCGTCCCAATGGGGCTCATAGATGGCACAATTACATGAAAACTCCAAAGTATGTTTGGAATCTATAACCTCTCACGTAATAATCTGTCTATTATGCTTTTCGCCCTAAGTTAATGCAAGCTTATTGGATCTTAAAGGGACAATTTTCTACTGTTTCATATTTCTGTGTCGGATGGTATGAATATTCCAATGCTTTTCCTTGTAATGCTGATATTCTAGAATTTTCCGTCATATTAAATTTTATTCATATGACAGGGAGATCAAATTGGAGGAGGCTGCAGTTCTGCATTACACATATTCCAAGTTTTCTGACTTGACTTCAAGACGAGATAGATGTGGTTGTAAGCCCACAAAGGAGGATGTTAAGAGATGCTTCATGTTAGAATTCGATAGATCTGTGAGTTTTTTGCTATTTTTCTATGTTTCATTTATATGTGGAAATAAGAGAATATTTTTTCTTATTGTTGTGTTAGTACTGTTTACATGTTACTGCTGGATAGTGTAGTTCCATAATTTTTACAGTTTCATGGTTGTTGCTTGAGAGGAGTTGTTTTGTATCTAATCCATATTTGGTTCTTCCAATTATTTTATGCAAGTTGCTTAATTTGCTACTGGGTTTGGGGAAAGATTCCCCTATTTCCATTTTCAATGGTTAGTCGGTTGGCCAGGATGCTTTGGTTTGTCGGATCGATAGCAGTGGTCAAGTGCGTTGGACGACACGGCATTCTCTTTTAAATAGTACCATCGACTAGAGACCGGATTGCTACAAGAGAGAGGAATGACTATAAGCTAAAAGGG